ATTTGTCCCCCGTTCGAAGCCATAGCGGCTTCTAAGGCAAAACACTCATGTCCTCGACCGATACATTCCTGAGAACACACTCATTCTTTTCAGATATGCCGTATTAGGGGCTAGAAAGCTTGACGGCGTCGAACTATGTACAAAGTTGATCCAAAAATTTCCCATTGATTCTGCACTGAGTGTTGTGAATGGACTCAGAAAAGGTTTTGAAAAATTGAAGAGTAACTTGCTCCAAGTGACTCAGAATGGTTAGTCTCAACAGTTACTAGCTTCATTTGATATTTGATTTCATTACATTCCCTCCGAATTCCCAGTAAATTAATCGCGATTGCAAATGAAAGTTACTCCTAGCAAATAAAAGATGATTTACTCCTGAGGAATCATCCCAAGGAAAGACTGATCGGAGGATCAGTCAGACAATGGCTGAGAGCACAATATTTCAACTCAATATTCAGCAGTAGCCAAAGGGTCCAATACAAGGTTATGCATGCACTATTGTGGCTGGCCCCAATACCTTTGCGCACCCATATGTACTGTAAAGGTTTCTCCTGAAATGAGTATTAAGGGTGGGAGGGGGTATAAAATTGTGAAGTGCACAGAATACGATAAGATGGCAGTGTTGAGTCAGACATGGTGAAATTGATAAGGTCTGGAAATACGAAACCCATTGAAGGAGTCCACACAGAGGACAGACCCATTCCTCAGCATCTTACCCAATGTTCTAATGTTAACTAAAAGGAATCAACTCTCACCTACGATTGTCTCAACGCAATTGCATTTCTACATTTTTTAGAAAAAATACTCCTATATACAGTTCCGTGCACCTAAAACCCATAAAACCCCGAAATCATAAATCCATGTCGTAAGTTCCTGCGGTAGTAGTGGTTTATCACAGGAGACAGCGCCGTGTGTTATAATGAACAAGCAAATTTCAAAAAAAAAATCATGAAAATTAGAAAATCGAAGATCCACAGGTGAGTCAAGCAACGTTGAAATTTATGGATTGAGTTCATCGCGCCCCTTTGTATGAACATGGCCAAATCCTAAGCCTGTTAAGGTAAATCCAGACGAAACTTTAACATTAAGAAACCTCAGAACTTCCTCGTCTCTTCAGTGGTGATGTAGACTTTGATAGGCTAATAGTCTTGAACGTTTCCTTTGGCGGACTTGGTGGTCGAAACACAGGAGGGTCTGAATAGCTTACTCTGTTTGCAGAATCTTTACTGGCTACGAAGAAAACATACCTGAAAGTGCTGTGCTGTCCTGTCGACCTTCCACGAGCGACAATTTCGTTTCAATGATTGGAGTCCCATTAATGGACATTTCGGGTTCTTCAGCGATCGGTGACGTGACCTCTGGAGGACGCCTTATCGGTCTAATGATAAGCGTATCGTCACGCAGCTCCTCTGTTGGTGTTAGGTGTGTGTCCATGGGAATCTCCTCTTCAGGTGAGGTCATTTCATCCTGAAATTTCCACCTCTTTTTTAAGAAAGTAATAAAAGGTCATAATAAATAGGATTACCGAAGTGTCGCTGTTTTTCCTCTCGATAAATTCTGCTCGGTCAGATTGACTTCGTTCCCTTCTTAGAGTGTCCAGGTCCAGCTCGTTCCGTTGAGGTGGTACGACGGCATACTTTGGAGATATTTCCTCTTCAGAACCCTGGTGGGGGATTCGCGGTGTGGTCCTTCCCTTCATTATGAACAATCCTACCCTATCCGGAGATCGCGATCTCGTCCTATCCCTAGCAATGCGTTCCAAGTGCGAATCGATTGGCTCCTTCCTCTGAGGAACAGGCGTCATCGTTGTTAGCACGTACATTTCTGATGGTTTTAAGGGGAGTTCCTCAGGGAGCTCTTCTTGCTTCTCGAGCGTTACCATCGTCTCGCTATTCAACATTTCCCCTGCCTTCACCGGCTCTTCAACTGCTGGTTTGTCTTCAATCACGAATGTGTGGGCTTTTCTTGCCATTGCGGGGGTGGCTGAGGTGGTAAGGATGAACTTCTCCTGATGTTCCCTTTCCATATCGTCTTCGGTTGCTTTTTGCTTTCTCTTAGTATGCGGTGTAGCATAAGGTTCCGTGTGACCTGTGAAGTCCACTTTTGGTTGAGCGATGGCGTCTGCGCTCTTCGAGCTGGGCACTCCTTCTTTTGGCTTCTCCTCAACCACGAACGTTTTATACTTCCTCATCGTAAACGGCGTCCTGAGAGCCAACGCCAATTTGTTTGGAGCTGATTTCCCTTCATGCTCTCGCTTTTCCTCTTTCTCTTTCTCCTTTTTCGTCTTATCAGCAGTTGGACCGACCGTGGCAATTGGCTCAGTAATTTCACCTTCTTCGATATACGGAACATCTGGGCTCTTTGCTCGCTCCCTGATCGTAAAGGTGTGATGGCGTCGAAGGGCTTCAGGGGTTTTCACGGTGAGAATGTATCGCTCAGGAGAGACGGATGATTTCTCTGGCATTGATCGCTGTTTGATAATTTTGCCAGGTTTTTTCTTCCGAGGTTGAGAGCTCTCGTCAGCCGCCATTTTGGCGAAGGGATCGCTCTGACCAATGAAGAACGCCTTATGCTTCCTCAGCGCTTCCGGGGTCTTCATGGTGATGAGAAACCGGGTGGGGGGACTGAGTTCGCGCTCTCCAGGCGACTCTTTTAACTCCGGTCTTCCACGGGCTTCATGGTGTTCAACGGCTCGCAACTCACTTGATGTGTCCGGAATCTTCTCCCCTAATGCAAAGGTGTGATGCTTCCTTACGCATTGGGGAGTCTTCAAGCACGAATGAAGGGGGACCTGAGCAACTTCAGTTCCTGCCGGTTGCATTTCGCCTTTATCGCCATCGTTTTCAGTTGATGGTTGACTTGGCGACTGTGGAACACTTGGGACTATCTTATCTCCTTCGTTGTAGATGTGAACTGTTTGATGTTCTTCGTCGATAGTCACCCTCCCTGGAGTCCCTGATGTCTTCTCCTCCAATTTCAGCACCGTCGTTGTCTTCTCGCTGAAAAAATCGTGCCTTTTAGTGGACTTATCATGAATTATTAGTGATGTTTGTTCTACAGCCATAAAGGAATTCCTAAGGCGCATGTGGAATTGGGTAAGGTCTGCTGAGTGCACATGAACGGAAATGCTCCCGGTAAACAGAGTCAGTGAGACAACAACAGGCGTGAGATGAGAGCTGCGTGTTTGCTCCCTCAAAAAGATTGGGGCTGGCCATGGATTAACCTGGAATCTCTGACCCCTGATGGGTTATCATTTCACTAGCTCATAAGTGGGAATTAAAAAAGATTTGTTAGAGTGGTATAACTGCTTAGAATACGCCACTTTTCACAGAAAAGCCCTTGCCCAAGGTGAAAAGATTAGCCAGCCGGCAGTTTTACTAGTACTCGCATTTCAAAGCTGTCGAAGCTTCTCAAACGTAGAACCCACAGCCCCTTCCCCGAAGGAGGGTAAGCTGTCAAGCCTTGTTGGAATTGAAGTTTCCATCACTCACAATTGTTTTTATCGGAAAAACGGATTATGGACGGCTTCGTTCTGGCGACCAACAACAAAGAAATCTAATTGACACATGTACGATTTCAAAATTACGTGCATGAGGTCTTGCTTGAGAAGGTGAGTGGCTTGGCGACGATAGTAATTGCCCGATATTATTGGAAAGAAAACACAGTGATTGCCATGTAGTTGAGAAGAAAACAGAAAGATTCCAGACAATGAAATGAATTACTCGAAATTGCTTCATCACTGATCCCACTACTAACCTAATGAGGGAAGAGCGGACAAACGAGGGTTCTGGCCTCATTGCAAAGATCGGGAAGCAGTTTCTTGCGGAGCAAAAAGCTATACAGACAGATTAACATCTGTGCCTGGTGTGACCAGATTTTCCGCAAATAACATCACTTAGAACGGAAGGACAGAATGAATCTGGGCATGGGTAGATCTGTGGTCTTTAAGAAGCATTTTCAACGGGCTGATTCGACCGATGGTTAGAGATAATGATAAAGGATAATCAATTCCGTCTACGGGATGCTTCCCTACATTCGACTTCCATTCATAACTGTAGTGAAGTAATGAATGCGTATGTGGCCTATATAGTAAAGTGCGGTGGGCAGCCGAGATACAAGTCAGTGCTTTTATCTCCCAGATGGGTCTGGGAGGATAAAAGTCTGGTACCAATTAAGCAACCCCAAAGGGATGAAAGGGTTGGTTGACTTAAGCGAAAATTGGATGCGAACCCATGACTATGCGTGTGATAGTGCGCCTCTCGTCACTACACTACCTTCGCCTTGACAATTAAATTACTGTTACAATCATTATTACCCGAGATTACTGTAGTCACATTCAGATTTCAAGGATTCGTTTCAAAAACTAAATACCCAATTTTGTGACACACCTGGTTTTTACATGACTTTTCGAAGAAAATAGGAATTAATGGAAGATTTCGTTCCCACCTTTGTCCCTAACCCTTGAGGATGACAAAAATCGGAACTCAGTTTAGTCGTCTGATTTCCGGCTATCGAAAACTTTTTCTCAAAAACCCTGCTTAATGCTATTGAACAAGGGTACACCAACACCAGCTGCTGCAAATTCCTCAAAGGATTCTTGGCGCAATGAGCTTTTCAGTCCCTAACTTGAATAGCCAGTTTGAGTAGGTACCTGTGATCAGTAGAATCATCTTGTTTCGTGATGACGAGCACATCTTCATTGAGTGTCACCGAAAGTGCTTGATGAACGGCAAGCGGTCCGTCGTCATCATGCGATACCGTCGGAACATCTTCCATAACCACATCGTCGTCAGCCTTGCCTTGATCAGCAATTGAGGCCTCCTCTGAGAAGTCCTCTAATCGCTTAGGATTTTGTGGAATCACCACCTATAAATCGTCAAGACAATGAGATCGGTTCCGAAAACAGCCTTCCTGGATTACCATATGTCTTGAAGTTGATGCTTCCTGAGTGGTCGATGGAACCTCCATAGACGAGGACTTAATGACGCGATTTGCATTTTGGTCTATTCGTTTTGGTACAGTCGTTTTTGGTTGTCGAATACTAAATTGGATTAAGATTAGTTGGCGGCAACTTACTTTCTTCCAGAAGCAGCTCACCCTGAGAAGCTTTGGCTGCCTTTCATAGAGACGTCCTGTTCGTGTCGTCCTATTCTGGCCAACTTTGAAAATTTACTCTTCACCGTCCGTGCGACCGTCATCAGTGGACTTCGTGGGGTCAGCTCAGCGCTTCGCGAAGTTTTCTGATCCTTCTTCTGGTCACCCGGCCTTTTATGGAAAGTGGATCGCGGTATCTGAAAGTATAAGGGTCCAATAGGAATTGGCTGTAACATACCTTGATCATATGCGGACACTAACCCTATCTGAATCGGATGGAATTAATAGTTCATAATAAGAAGGAGTATAAGTTCGATGAGTTGTTGGACAGGGAGCCTAAGCAGGCATTCGACGGCGCCAGGAAGGGTAGTGCCAAAAGGCATGCTCGCGGGTTGTAAGTCCGCCCCCGCTTTTGGTTCCCCTCGAAGAATTGCCTCTTTTATGCCGCATTCTGATGGATATACCGGTGACGGAACCTATACTGCCTGTAGCTCAATCATATGAGTTTTTGCAGGTCATGCAGTGCTCTTACTATTGGGAGAGGAGTTTGGAATGCATCTCATTAAGAGTCTAACAATGACTGCATAATTCTTTATAGTTGGGTATGTAACACATTGCAGGACGGAAGCCGGTCCCATCAACGTTGACTTTTGTTCCCCCCTCTGAACATAATCATCCTATGATGCGAAGAAAGAGACATTCGATATGCTATAAACAGTTATGAATCATAAGAATTCGTAATCATTTTGCAGGAATACTTTACATTTGGGATGCCACGCCCTGATGGCCCAAATATAAAATTATGTGCCGTTGTCTGGGTTGAATTTCGATTTACCTCTCGTAAGAGGAGGAGTAAGTCGAGGAGGAGAACTTGACAAACACGAAATTAGTCAGGTTCTGAAGTGTGGGTGCGATTAACTGCATCACTGCACGCGTCCGTCCGTCATCTGCAGCCTCCGCAGATGCTCCAAATGGATCGCAATCGGCAAAAAATGCAGGTTCTTCTCAATCGCAGGGGCCTTAGCTGATGGAAAGCAGACTAACAGCAAGAAACTGAGCGCTCAGACCAGAAGAAGATCGCTAGAGCTCAGTAATTTATATGGCTATATAGTTCCTATGGGATTTTGTCGCAGCTAGCTTCTGGGCGGGACACCGACCGAATTGAAGCATCAGAGATTTGTAGACTGATTACAGCTGCCTGCTGCCTTCTGCCTTCCTACATGCTCTTTACGAACACCGCTAGAGATTGGTTTCGTCCTGCGAAAAGACGACAAACGAAAAATGTCCTCAAAGTAGCGGAGAAGTCGACATCTGCACGCGCTAACGAGAAAAATGGTGAAATCGAGTTTGAGTGACCTTGAAAATAAAGAGAATCAGCTGGAAAGTTCACCCAACAGAACCCCTAAAACTCACCCGGGACGCGGCTCGATGTTCCATTAACTTAGAGTAGAAGAGTTGTCATCGGCGTGGTGGGAGCAATGGTGTAGTGTGTGGGATGCGAATGAAGTGAGACGAGTGCCTTTCTGGGCTTATGAATGCGGCCGAAAGATTAATCATTCTCGAGTCGTCTTGTCTCCCCCCAGATTTGACAACAAAGTATTTATTTTCGCCGTCAGACTACCCAAATCAGTTGTCTCTCATGCGATAGTGCCATAAGAATAACTAAACTCACCGAAGTACTCGTTGACGTCGGTTCACGATCCAGCGGCTCTACTACATTACGGTTCTCAATCACTATGCATTCAGAAGGATGAGATCGATCTCCCTGCAAACACAACCTAAGCATAAGGAAAAGAGAAAATTCTAGGCCAAAAATAAGGTATGATTGCCGAACAGCGAAATTTGCTGGCTATGGGCCATTAAATTTCAGCCAGATGAGGGAAGTGCAACGCCTGAACTTGTTTCGACTTTTCTGGGAGAATATGGCAGGCAAGTTTTTGGGAAATTTCAGCATTTCCGAGAAACTTTTTTGAGAACCCTAACTCAAGCAAGCAGTTTGTTGGGGTTTCCCAGATTAAAGCACTCGAAACTGTTTCCTAACTAGTCCAAACCTCTTCTCAACTTCCTTTCCTATGAAAACCTGCAGGCCAAGGTATCAACCTTCCCAAGTACATTGTGGCCGCCCTTCCCCATGAGGATTGAAGCTTGATTCTGAAGTTAATTCATGAACAAATTACCTTATCGCTGGATCGCCGTGAGGAGTGGCTCATTATGCTCTCGTTGGATTTGGACTCGGGAATCGGTGGAATAGAACGATTCAACGGTGGACGTCGGCGAGAAGCCTGAAACAAACTGCTGCTATGCGCTTTATGTGATTTAAAAATAACTTATTGAAATATTCGGTTCGAGCACATGGAAGCGGGGTGTGGAAGTGCAAAGGAGTGCCAGCGATGACAACGACAGAACATCGGACGGAGGGAGGCGGCCTGATAGCTATGTTGGCCATAGAAAAGCTCGACCATCCATCTTCGGAGTGTTGATCGTTTATTTTGTCATAAATAAATGCACCAGTACCCAAAGGCATGGACCAAGAAGAAAGCCGATTGAAGGAAATAACGAGGAAACGACTGTTACCACAAATGGATGAGGAGAAAATAAGTAGGACTGAGGTTCCGACAAAGAACAAACACCAAATTACTGAGTAACTGCAAAGTAAAAAGTGGCAAGTAGGTCATTAACTGCAATGAAAAGGGCGGATCGGATGAATGGAGGATGGAGGCCGTCCATTAGCTGTTCTTCTGCAAGGAAACCTTTCGGAGCGTAAAACTAAAGCTTATGACTATTTTATATGTGCAATATGCAATATGAGAGTTTGAGGTTG